TTCCCCAGGCAGCCAGGCTGGCTGGGGAATTCTGGGAGTTGAAGTCCACGCATCTTAAAGTTCCAAGCTTGAGAAACACTGATCTAGATATTTGGACATTTAAATGTTCCCTTGCATCTTTGGATCTAGAGTGCAGCAGGATGGATGTGCTGAGAGCTATATGGAAATATATATTTTATCTGATAAATTTATAAAATCCATACGAACGGTGGTGGCGGCATGCAAGTGAAATGTATTGGGGTGCCACAGCCTGTACGCACTGCTTTCATTTTAACACACTGGCCTTTTGCAACGAGGAAACAGGCTTCCTTCAGTGTCAGACCTCTTGGAAACCAGTTAAGCTTGCTTTTAACTGAACTGGTTGGGGAATTCTGGGAGTTGCAGTCCACACATCTTAAAGCTGGTGGGGAATTCTGGGAGTTGAAGTCCACACCTCTTAAAGCTGCTGAGGTTAAGAAACACTGTGTTAACCCATAGCAAAGGAGATATCTGGATCCTTAGGGGCCAGGAGTTATGCACCATAGCGGAACCGCCAAAAATTAAATGTGTTGTTGATGGCTGTGACCAGCAAAAAGCAGGGGAGACCTCCACTTATCTGGAATATGCTCAACTCCCGATGACAAAGTTATCCTCATTTTGGTTTGTATAATTTATTGTCCTGCGTATTTACTTATGTAGCAAGAGTCCAGAAACTCTCTTTACTGAATGGCAGGGTTTGCATCACACCCATTAAATGATGTGACAGAATGTACCCATTTTCTGGCTAGGAAGAGTCCGCTGAAGCATTAACTAACTAATGGGACACTAAAGACCCCCCCCTCCATCCCTCTAAAACCAAGATCCTCAACCAGTGAGTAATTTGGAAGTCTGAATTCAATGCGAAAGCTAGAGAGAAATTACAGTTTGCCATAAATAGCACTTTATGGTTTAGTACCATATATAAATTCAGTCTTTGGCTGCATTGGAATGATAGCCTTGACCATGGTTAGTGGAATCATGGCTTCCTCCGGGTGCCTGGATTAGTAAGAATATGCTGGGCCGTATAGAAGCCCCGTGGGCTGAGTTTGTCCAGTGAGACTAAAATGTGGTCACCTAATTTGTGTCATATAAGCCCCGCTGCTGTTGGGTCTTTAAACCATGGTGTCTTGTGTGGTGTGCTCAAGGAACCATGGCTTAATGTAATATTAAGGCTATGGTATCATTGTACCGTACATAGTTCATGTTCAAGTGATGGCCTGCACAAACCCCCCAAGTTTCTTCTTTTTATTTTTGCACAAGATTCTAGACCTCATGGAGTGGAGGAAAAAAAATGGACATCAGAACAAGGAAAACCCACGGAAAAGGGACAGAAAACAGTGCCAATCATTCTCTGAAGCTTTTTCCCCTAAAGATAGATTCTAAGCAGTTCTTTAAAAAGCGTCCTTAAATAAAATGTATAATTTGGTGCAGGAAGGCACCAGAGTGAGATCCGACACACACGCGCACACCAGCCACCTTTGATCAGACCTTGTACTGTCACCTTTCCCACTGTTGTGTCTCTCTCAGCCTTGGCGTTGGCAATTTTTATGATGACTGTTTGCTCTACTAACCTTGGAAAAACGTGTGTCCGGTTGCAAGTAGAATTTGGGAGAGAGCCTGGATGGGGCACGCGGGGGGTGGGGGTGGGGCGGCATTGTTGGGAAGGAAGGGCAAACAACATGTGACTTGCTTGGTGTGGTAGAAGCACAATCCAGTGCGACGGTCTGGGTCATATGACGTTGGACTCCTGCCCCAGAGAGTTACAAAACTGGGAGAAACTCCAAAATGACATCCGAAATAGTGGCGTGCATATTCTTAAACAAAAGGACAGATATTATTATTAGCAGGGGGAGTAGAATTCGTATTGTCTCTTCATTCAAGGAACAGGCTGGGTATTTTCTGATGATTCAAGGTTCTAATCGAGAGCCGAGGAAATCATCTATTAAAGCAAAAACACTTCCATTCCTCAATCCGTGAAATTAAAAATGATTATCTTCTAATTTCTCAACCTTGGGAACTTTCACATGCTTGGACTTCAACTCTCAGAATTCCCCAGCCAGCATGGGTAATAATTAGCTTGGATGGTGGATAGTCAAGGTTGCTTCCTTGGCCGCTGTTTCTCTACCATCTGCCTTCCTTGGATTGAGGGGTTGTGCAAAATGGGAAAGGTCACATCAAATGTGTAGGCAGATAGGTAGAACAGGATCTTCCCCTTTTCCTCCAGCTCTTCATATTTAATCCTGCTAA